AGATGGAGTCTCACTCTGTCACCAGGCTGGAGTGCAGTGGCATGATATCAGCTCACTGCAACCTCTGCCTCCTGGATTCAAGTGATTCTCCTGCCCCAGCCTCCTGAGTAGCTTGGACTACAGGCGTGCACTGCCACACCTGACTAATTTTTATATTTTTAGTAGAGATGGGGTTTCACCATGTTGGTCAGGCTGGTCTCAAATTCCTGACCTCAGGTGATCTACCTGCCTTGCCCTCCCAAAGTGCTGCTGGCATTACAAGCATGAGCCACTGTGCCTGGCTTTCTTTGTTTTCTTTTTTATAGAAGAGACCAGCTGGAGTGCAGTGATGCAGTCACAGCTCGCTGTAACCTCACACTCCTGTGGGGTCCTCCCATTTCAGCCTCCTGAGTAGCTGGGACTATACCCATGTACCACCACACCCAGCAATTTTTTTTTTTTTTTTTGTAGAGACAAGGCTCTTGCTGTGTCACCCAGGCTGGTCTCAAACTCCTGGGCTCAAGAGATCCTCTCCCCTTGGCCTCCCAAAGTGCAGGTATTACAGACGTGAGCGGCCACTGTGCCCAACTTCCTTCGAACCTTTGATTGCAAATGTACACCTTGTTTCCGAAAGAGGAATCATAGGTACAGCTGTCCATTTGTACAGTTGTCCTTAAGTATCCATGGAGATTGGTTCCAGGGCCCCCAGCAGATACCAAAATCCTTGGATCTTCAAGTTCCTGATATAAGATGGTGTAGTATTTGCATCTAACCTAAGTATATCCTCCCATATAGTTTATTTATCTATTTGAGACAGAGTCTTGCTCTGTGGCCCAGTCTGGAGTGCAGTGGCACGATCTCGGCTCACTGCAACTTCCACCTCCCAGGATCAAGTGATTTTTCTGTCTCAGCCTCCCGAGTAGCTGGGACTACAGGCATGCGCCACCATGCCCGGCTGATTTTTGTGTTTTTAGTGGAAACAGGGTTTCAATTGTTGGCCAGGCTGGTCTCAAACTCCTGACTTCAGGTGATCTTCCTGCCTCGGCCTCCCAAAGTGATGGGGTTACAGATGTGAGCCACCTCACCTGGCCCCTCCTATATACTTAAATCATCACTAAATTATTTATATTACCTAATACAATGTGTATGCTATGTAAATAATTGTTATACTGTATTGTTTAGGAAATAATGACAAGAAAAAAGTGTGTACATGTTCTGTACAGATACAACCATGAATTTTTTATTTAATTTTATTTTAAAAATTTTGTTTTTATAAAGACGAGTTTTCACCATGTTGGTCAGGCCGGTCTCGAACTCCTGACCTCAGGTGATCTGCTCATCTTGGCCCCCTCAAAGTGCTGGGATTACAGGTGTGAGCCACCACGCCCGGTAACAACCATGAATTTCTTTTCTGGATATTTTTGATCCAAGTTTGCTTGAATCCATGGATGTGGAACCCACAGATATGGGGGCAGATTGCATTTGGTTATCTGAACTCCTGAAGCCTTTTTTTCATAGTGCCTTATGGGGGACTAGTGTTTCTTAGAACACACTTTGGGAAATATAGCGATAATCCTTCACTTTGTGTTTTAAATAAACGAAAGTTTTAATTATAAGGTTGGACCTGGAACTCGGGAAACTCCCATTTAAGTAGTTGTCTTGTTCTCTCTTTTTTTTTTTTTTTCTTTTTAAAGATGGGGTTTCACCATGATGGCCAGGCTGGTCTTGATCTCCTGACCTCAGGTAATCCACCTACCTCGGCCTCCCAAAGTGCTAGGGTTATAGGCGTGAGCCTCCGCGCCCGGCCTGTCTTGTTCTCTCTACCCCTCTACACATACTCTGGGTTAATCAGAATTCATTTCTGGGCATGCAGGTGGCTCACGTGTATCCCAGCACTTTGGGAGGCTGAGGCAGGAGGATCACTGCAGTCTGGAGTTTGAGGCTAGCCTGGGCAACATAGCGAGACCCATCTCTACAAAAGATAAAAGTATCAAAATTATCTGGGTGTAGTCATGTGCAATTGTAGTCCCAGCTACCTGGGAGGCTGAGGCAGGAGAATCACTTGACCCCAGGAGGTCAAGACGGCCGCGAGCTGCGATTGAGCCACTTGCACTCCAGCCTGGGTAGCAGAGTGAGACCCTGTATCTTAAAAAAAGAAAAAGATAGGCTGTGCATGGTGGCTCACGCCTGTAATCACCACTTTGGGAGGCCAAGGCAGGTGGATTACTTGAGGTCAGGAGTTCAAGACCAGCATGGCCAACATGCCTAAAGCTCATCTCTACCAAAAATACACAAAATTGTAGTGGTGCACACCTGTAATCCCAACTACTGGGGAGGCTGAGGCAAGAGAATCGCTTGAACCCAGGAGGCGGAGGTTACAGTGAGCCAAGATCTCACCACTGCACCCCAGCCTGGGCAACAGAGCGGGACTCTGTCTCAAAATATATATGTGTGGCCGGGTGTGGTGGCTTATGCCATAATTCCAGCACTTAGGTAGGCCGACGTGGGCTGATCACAAGGTCAGGAGATCGAGACCATCCTGGCCAAGATGGTGAAACCCCGTCTCTACTAAAAATACAAAAAATTAGCCGGGCGTGGTGGCACACGCCTGTAGTCCCAGCTACTCAGGAGGGTTAGGCAGGGGAATCACTTGAACCTGGGAGGCGGAGGTTGCGGTGGGCTGAGATCGTGCCCTTGCACTCCAGCCTGGGCAGCAAGAGTGAAATGCTGTCTCAAAAAAATGTGTGTGTTTGTGAGGTTTGGACAAAAAAAAAAAGTGTGTACGTGTGTATAAAGTGAGAGAGGGGTATTTGAATTCTGGTGGTCTCCAAGTGTAATAAGAGCTCTGTCCTTCTCCATCCTCCCAGGCCCCCAGTACACGCTGGGTTGTTACAGTTCTGGGCTGCAGCATCCTCAGTACAACCTTTGTGTACCTGGCCAAGTGTACACAGGTGCCATGGAGGGAAACAGACACCAGTGCTGAGACCCTGCGCTCTGCACCGTGAGACTGCGGTTCAGTGCTTTTGTCGTGACTTGCCCTGCGCCCCACACACATTACAGCATGCCAGTCACTTTCAAAGTCTGGATCTCTGTCACTGTCACTGTCCTGGAACTACCCTTCCATGCCTGCTTGCCGAGCTGTGTTTCAAGAGACAAACATCCCTCTTCCCTGAGAAATACGCTCATAGCTGCCTTTCTTCTTCCCCACTTCAGGAACTGGATGCGTTCCAGCCATATCCCATTGAAATTGTGCCGGGAAAGGTCTTCCTGGGCAATTTCAGTCAAGCCTGTGACCCCAAAATTCAGAAGGACTTGAAAATCAAAGCCCATATCAATGTCTCCATGGAAACGGGGCCCTTGTAAGTACAGGAGATGCTATCAATTTGTATTTCATTTTATTTTTTAATATTTACACTTATTTGTTTTCATTTTTGAGAAAGAGTCTTGCTCTGTCACCCAGGCTGGAGTACAGTGGCACGATCTTGGCTCACTGCAACCTCCTCCTCCTGGGTTCAAGCGATTCTCCTGTCTCAGCCTCCCATATTGCTGGGACTACAGGTGTGTGCCATCATGCCCAGTTGATTTTTGTATTTTTTAGTAGAGACAGGGTTTCACAATGTTGGCCGGACTGGTCTCGAACACCTGGCCTCAAATGATCCACCTGCCTCAGCCTCCCAAAGTGCTGGGATTACAGGCGTGAGCCCCCGTGCCCGGACTATATTTTATTTTTTATTTCATTTTAGAGACAGGGTCTTGTTTATTTATTTAATTTATTATTTTAGAGACAGGGTCTTGTACTGTTTCCCAGATGAGGTCTCACTGTGTTGCCCAGGTTGGTCAGGAACCCCTAGCCTCAAGCAATCTGCCTTGCCCTCCCAAAGTGCTGGGATTATAGGCGTGAGCCACCATGCCTGGCTAAGATACGTACTTAAAAAAAAATTTAGGGGGATTTCCAGCTATCTGGAATCCCCTCCCACATAGTGGGAGCTTAAAATAAAAAATAAATTTTTTTGGCTGGGTGTGGTATCTCGCCTATAATTCCAGCACTTTGGGAGGCCAAGGCAGGTGGATCAGCTGAGGTTGGGAGTTTGAGACCAGCCCGGCCAACATGGTGAAACCCCGTCTCTACTAAAAAAACATTAGCCGGGCATGGTGGCACATGCCTGTAATCCCAGCCACTTGGGAGGCTGAGGCAGGAGAATCACCTGAATCTGGGAGGCTGAGGCAGGAGAATCACCTGAACCTGGGAGGCTGAGGCAGGCGAATCACCTGAACCTCGGAGGCTGAGGCAGGAGAATCACCTGAA